TATATATATATATTTATATACATATATGCAATGTATATACGTGTGTGTGTGTGTGTAGAAATTGGGGTTTAACTCAGGGGTGCTCTCACAAGCTATATTCTCAGCCCTTTCATATTCTGAGACACTCCCATGTTGGCTTCAGACTTGTGATCTTTCTGCCTCAGCCTTTATATCACTGGGATACAGGCATTCACCACTTTATACAGCATAGAGAAGTATTTTTAAAGAGGGCAATATTTGTGCTTTACTCAAAAGATTTTTGAAATCTTATAAAAGGTGTCATAGTAGGAGAGAGTGGAGCACATAGTTTATACAAGTTGGTCGTGATCCACATTGGATTGGCAAGCCAGGGACTTTGCAGAACTTGGATTTCCTTACTGCTTGAGAAACAGAATAGTATTTGCAAATAAATAGGAGCCTCCTGGAATAAAAATGTAATGCAGATGCTGATTCTCTTAAATAAATCTGGGCCACCAACTGTGCTTATGATGGTTAGTAACCATGCATCCTGTACCATCTTTCTGCTTAGTTTTGTTCTCATGAGATGAGGAGTATTGGAACATACACATAGAATTATTAGTTTGTAAGTGCTAGGGAATAAGATCCTTTTGAATGGTAAAGCTGAGTCTATTTTCAAGGTAGAAGTAGTTTTAAGATATAGATAGAATTAAAAACTTGAACTATGTAAGGAAAAAATTTGCATAAATAAAAGATTTTAATGGCAACTTGGTTTTATCACCTGAAATAGTAAAATTAGACATTTCTCAGTCCAAATGTCATGACATGTAGATCTAGCAGGGTATAGAATCAAGATAATTTGAATAATTCTTGAAGTGGCAAAAAGGTGTAATTTTGACTTTCAATCACAGCTAAAGTTTAAAATAATTTCTCAGCAAGCTCAGCTGTTAGGATCTTATTAGGAAATGAGTTATCTTAGACATTTTAATAGTTAATGGTAGATTTTCCATTGTAATGATATTCTTCATACATTTTTTAAAAATGTCCTTATTCTTTATTTTGCATAAGCCTCACAGCATTTTATGATGTAGAAAGGGCAAGAGGTCAGCTCTTCATTGATGACAGTCATGGTGCTGCCTACATCTTCAAGGATCATTTGTTATATATAAGGTATTCTTTCTAAATCTGGGGAGGACCATTCAGTAACCATTGGCATTACATATACTTATCCCTAGGATTTTTTTTTCCACTGTCAATTGAGGAGACAAACTTCATCTTACGACTAAAGAAAGAAAATTTTATTACTTGAAGTGTTTCATTTTTCAAATTTAGAAAAATGCACACAGTAAGAGAAAATAAAGATTTTCCCTTGTCATCATATTATAGGCTGAGTTCCAATACTTAGCTATCAATTTCATAGAAAAATAAAGTAGAAATGACACAAATTAGGTAATTAGCATGACACTTTTTTTCTTCAGAAAAACAAATGAAACTCTGTGCTGTGTATTCTTTGGATTTGCACAATGTCTCTAAATATCTAGTTTAAATGAATGTAAATTTTATATAATTATTGGAAATAGTCTCTTTTATAGTAATTTTTTAACTATCACTATTTGTGAATTTTAAGTTTTTATAAAGTAACACATAAATGCTGTTTATTTAAAAAAATTGTCTCAGCAAATTACATTTCATGTTTGTATTTTGAGACATTTTAATAGTTAATAGTAGATTTTCCATTGTAATGATATAAACAAGTTTATGAAATATTTCAAATTTCTTTGTATTTAATATTATTCACTCCAAACTGTCAAAACAATGTCACTTATTCACATCAATAAATTTATGCTTTAGTTGATAGATTTAAAATGTAGCAAATGATATTGGATTATTTTTGGTCTGATTTATTTAATCTACCTATAGAAACTGGTTAGCCGGATAGTTATTGTTCAATGTTGTATAAAACAAACATAGATGGTTTTAATTTTATATTTACTTTCATATCTTTCAATGATTAGGTACTTATCTATGTTATACCATTTAAAATTCTTACTCTGATTACTTTAGGTCATTTTATATTAGTATGTTGTCTTCCCCTGTTAAATTGTTTCAAGACATGCTAATCTATTCTCAAATGTGCATCTGCTGGGAATACTTTTTATGTAGATCAGATGGGAGTTTTAAAGGTAAATAAGTGTTGATTTATTTCTTGTAGCTGCTGGGTTTGAGACTCTGATACCATTTTTAAATTTTTCTATACTAATAGATATTTGTTCTATAAGATGTTTTAGAAGCATGACATACTTATTCTTCACAGTAAATTTTTAGGTATGACACTGTTATCCTTATTTTACAAATGAGAAAGCTGAGGCTTGGAGAATCTCCCAATGGTATGAAGTAAAATGTCCAGACCTATCTATAAAGACCAGCTCTTAGTCACTGTAGAATTTAGTATCCCAGGATTATTTCTATTTTAGTAGTATTGGTAAATAGTAGTAGTAACATTTATCATTTTTTAGTATTTTTGTATTTTTTAGTATTATTTAGTATTCAGTATTATTGTGTAAATTCAGAAATGCAGTATTTGACAACCTGTTGTTGTATAGAATATCATTGTAGGAATTAAGGTAAAGGCAATGCAATTTGAATAAATCATTAGTTTATCAATGATCCAGCAGAGTAGTGATGGATCTAGTATCAGGTGTGAGAACTGTAGCCAGCTGCCTTGGTAACAACTTTTATCCACTTGGGCTTTTAATTTTGAAGACATGAATGCTGACATATTTGGGAACATGAAATAAGTCATGTTTTATGTTATATCTCCTTTCTGCAAAACAAAAACCCTATACAATAATGAAATTCCTTTCTTTCTTTTTTTTTTTTTCCCCTAATACAGTGGGATGCATCCTGCTTTCAACCTGGAGTTCACCTCTGTGTCGTGGATCCATCCAAGGAGCATTTGCCTTCAATCTCTGTGTTAACTAGAAATCAAGTAAAGTCATGAGGAGATTCGTTTACTGCAAAGTGGTTCTGGCCACTTCACTGATGTGGGTCCTTGTGGATGTCTTCTTACTACTGTACTTCAGTGAATGTAACAAGTGTGATGACAAGAAGGAGAGGTCCCTGCTGCCTGCACTGAGGGGTGAGTACCTGTGAAGCAAACTGGCAGTGACAACAAAATATAAAACTTCAAAATAAGAATAGTATTGCCTTATTACAAGAACAGAACTGTTAATGTACACTTAAGCACTTGGAAGCTACTTCCCTCTTCTAGGTCTTAGGGGTTTATTGGAAAGAAGGAAGAGTCAGTTAACCTCCCGGATACCTTTAATCTTAAATTCCAGTGTTCTGTGACTGCATGAAAAGAACTTTCAGTGAACTTTCAGTTGGGACAGAATTTAAAATCTAGGCTCACAGGAGCCAAAACCTTTTAAAAACCAAGTGAGATAGATGGGGACAGTAGAAAACTTGAATGGTATTTGTCATCCCTAATGATTTCCAAAACAGATTAAGTTTTTTTTTTTTTTTTTTTTTTTTTTTTTACAATAAAACACCTGCAAGTCACCAGATTTCACCTGTGGGCCATCAGATCTTTGGCTCTATGTTAGGCAACAAAGATAACTTCAAGTCTATTGTAAAGTTACCTTATCTCAGTATTTACAATGACTAGATAACAATTAATGCTAAAGAGATTATTTCTATAAATGGTGATTTTTCAGATAAAGGCATAGGGATTTATTTTCTGCAAAATGATTACAAATAACTTTCTCAGTACTTTCTTTTTTGTTGACTTCAAGGTCTATCAGTAGTTATATTTCTGAAATATTCCTCATAAATGGGTACTTCTAAAGTACATAGAGTGGTTGAAATTAGTTTATTCTCTTAAACAAACATTAATTAATTCTCTACTTAGCAAAAGTTTTCTGCATAACTATGACAAAAGGTAAATTTTATTTGAATCTAGTTGAAATTTTCATAACATTCAAAAAATGAACCTAAGTTACCAAGGTGAAATTTGCCTTCATTTACTAATTATAGTATGTCTAATGTTATAGATAATTTTGAAGTTATTTATTAGTCAAGACACTCAAACAGAATTTCATTTATTCAATTATGTAATTTTTAGGGAAACACAGAAAAACAATTCCAAAAAATTAATTTTGTCCAGAGAACATTTTGAAAATTCTGGGTTTGCTTTAGATTAAAAAAAAAAAAAATGCTCTCACTTCGCTGTAGAAATTCTGCATATTCTCTCTTTTTAAAATGTATCTAACACTCTCACTTTAGTTTTTGTTTAGTTTTTGACTGGTAGAAAGAATTCAGAGAAAAGTTCTTTGGAAGTGACTGAGTCTAGACTGATTTAGGTAGATTATATGCATTTTCATAGCTTTATTCTACAATTATTCAGGAAGAAGAACTTTATGAGTCCATCGGGTTTTGATAGATGAACATGGGATTGATTTACTGATCCATAGTTAAAGCCCTGAAGTAAATAAGCCTTTTTTTTTTTTTGAGTCTGTTGAGCTATTTCTTGGCTGAGTGGAAGTCTGTCTTGATGGATCACAACCATTTAGAATGATCACTTTGTTGAATGGAGGCGTCTAGTTCAGTCACACACAAAAAGTTATGACCTGATTTAGCCAAAAAAAAAAAAAAAAAAGCAAAACAAGCAGGCTTTTCCTCAAGTACCCACAAAAGTACAGTTTTGCTGATTTAGGTCCTTAATGCTTACTCCTTAACCTTAAACTGTGAAATTTAAAGATGCAAGGCAAAAATAATTTTTCCTTGTATTTAATTGTAAAGTTAAATCATGTTGTCTTCATCTATAAGACTTTTTGTCTGATCAACACACTGTAGGCTGGGTGACTCACTTAGAACAGAAACTTACAAAACTTACAACTCAGTTTTGGATGATGGGAAGATCAAGATCAAGGCACTGGTTGATTGGTGTCTGTGAAGATCCTGTTTCTCATGCAAAACTGACTTCTCACTAACTTCACCTGGCAGATGGTTAAGGGATCTGCTTGAGACATTTCTATAAGGTTGTTAATCCCAATCATGAGGGCTTCTCCCTCAGGACTTAACTACCTCCCCGAGGTCACACCTCCTAATACTATTGCCAAACCTTTTAGAGTTCTAACAGGTGAATTTTGGGCAGAAACATTCAGTCCACTGTACTTTAATTTGGCACATTAATATCATTTGTCCTGTAAAATAGGAAATAGACATGAGGTTTTAATTTTATATTTTATTTGTATTGCAGATTATTTAGGAATTTGTACTATATATTTAGAGTTATTTATATGCAGTGATGTTGTAGAAAGTATGTCTGACTTATATTTTTCTTTTAAATCTACTAAACAATGACTTTTGGGTTACAGAATTTGATCTTTCTGGGTTGGATTTGGTGGTTTCTAAGATGACTTATATTTTTAGACTTTATATAAGTTTTAAGTACCCAATATTAACATACACTATGGATTAATTTTTGAGATATTTTCATTTATTAATTCATTAATTATTTATTTAGTATTTACTGTGTACTAAATCCTAGGAATATATAACTAAGGCCTTTGCAGTTTGGAATTTAATAAAACTGGGATTCTTCTAGTCATGGAGCTTATAGTAAATCACAAAGTAATCATTCCTCTCTCCACATGCACACACAAACATACAGTCATGTGTTACTTAAGCATGGGAAGGGGAGACAGTGGGAAACATTGTGGAGTGTGTTTATATAACTAAGACTGCTGTAGCCTCACTAGGTATTAAAATCTCATGGGAGCACTATTGTATATGCAATTTCCATTGTTGACACATATTCAGTTAAATATACAAATTCAGCTAAAATGGTAAAGTACACATGATTACAACACATAATGGGTGTTAGGATGAAGATGGATGCTCTAAGCTAAGGAAACAATCTAGGTGAATAGGTAAAATTTCACAGAGGCTATGGCATTAAGGTTAAGGTCTACAATACAAGACTAGGAAATAACTACTTAAAGAAGAAAATGCAAAATTTTAAATAGATTAATAAATATTTAAGTGTATTTCCCACCAGAATAATTTAAAAAGAGAAATTGCAGAGTTAAAATTTGACTATTTAAATAACAGCTCTTAAAATTTAGAGTAATCAAAATAGTATTGACACAAAGCAGAAGTATAAATTGTCCAAGGAAATAGATTTAGATCTTAGACATAGACTCACACATTTGGAACATTCATTATATGATGGGGAAGCACTGAAGATCAATTGGAAAAAGAGTATATATTCAATAGATGGAACTGAGAATGAAATGGTAATCTGTGTAGAAAAGGATGCCTTACTCTTCTTCCCAGTTGATATAAACTTTGGATGTACTACAAACATAAATGCCAAAACCAAAACTTTAACTTGAGTAGAAAACAATTAGGCATCTACATGATCTTGAAATAAGGAAAATTCTAAGGCAAAACACAGGAAACATTGACATCAAAAAATAAAAGAGAAGTCACACATTGTTGAAGATATTCAAAGAACATACAGCTAACAAACTCTTACCAAGTATATATAAATAATGATAATATGTGTATGTGTGTGTGTGTGTATTTGTTTCTTATTATTAATAAGAAAAGCCCAAATAAACTGACTATGGTCTATGTATGTAGTCCCAGTGACTCAAGAGACTGAGGCAGGATGATTGCAAATTCAAGGTCAACCTCCGCAACTAGGGAGACTCTGTTTCAAAATAATATATAAAAAAGGGCTGAGGGTGTGTAACTTAGGGGTACAGTGCTGCCCTGGGTTCAATCCCCAGTATACCCTGCCTTCCCACACACAAAAAAAAAAATAAAGAAAAAGCAGAAACCCCCAAATAACCCTATTTAAAAAATATAAGCAATAGATAGAAAAGCAAACACATATGGCAAATAAACTTATGAGGAGATAATTAATATACATTATAATCAGGGAAAAACAGATCAAGGCTACAATGACATGCATTTATATCCATTCAGCTAACAACAATTATAAAGGTTAATAATGCCAATCATTAGAGTTGATGCATGTCTACACTTTTGTGGTGAATTCAGATAACAATTTAGTATTATCTCTGAAATCTAAACATTCATACAGGACTCAGACGTCATAGTCATATATCCAAGAAAATTTCTTCCACAAGTATGTTCATAGCACCACTACTCACTGGAATAAAACTTGTAAATAACATACAGGCCAATCAATGGAAAGAACTGAAGGATAGACATTTGGTATATAGATCAAAGGAATTATTATATAGTAATCAAAATGAATGCTCTTTCATCAATATGGATGAATCTTGACAATAAAGTAGTAAATTAATGATAAGTTATACCCCACAAAGAGTAAGTATATATAGACTACTAGAAATCAAAAAAACCCTAAAATTTAAGAACATACATTAAAAGAGTATATAGAGATGTAAGACTTCATAAAAAGCAAGTGAGGCTAACTATGAATATAGGATTTAGATTGTTGCCTGTCATGCACGTGGGGAAATAGGGAATACGATCAGAGTGAACATTATGACTTGATATGAACCATTTGGAATATGGGTTTGATGTATTTTTTAAAAAAATTCTATTAGTTATTAATGGACCTGTGTTTATTTATTTGTTTTTATGTGATGCTGAGGATAGAACCCAGTCAGTGCCTCAAACATGCTTGGCACAACCCCAGTCCTTGATATATTATTTTTATTAATAACTAAATGAATAAAGAAGAGCCACTGAATGCATTTAAAAAGTGATAAGACACCAGTGGGTTCCAAAAATAGGGCAGACATATTCAGATTTGTATTATGGAAGAATCACTATGGATACAACATGGACAATGCATTGGAGAAGAGCCACTATCTTCAGGGCACTGGATAGGAAGCTGTCCAGCAGTCTATGCATCTTGTGTTGGAAGTGATACCAATTTATAGCAGACCAGCAGGAATGAGGTGTGAGAGAAACAGGTAAAAATTGAAATCTGGGTGCTTGATAGGATCTGGCAGATATTGAAGGTATAGGTTCTATGGACAAGTCTTGGGTTTCTTGGATCCAGTTTCCAGAGGGAGGGCTCATTGTAAGAGATGATTCAAGCAGGATGGATACTGAGTTTATTTCAGACATGCTGCA